TCAAAGCGCCACATGCTTGGATGGTGTAATCCAGCATAGCTCCATGAAAGTCAATGGAAATATGATATACAGCAGCTGATGAACTGGTCTACAGTGCTGAGTTTCTCCCCTCATCTCATGGGTACTACAAACCAAAGGACAGTGTCTTGTTTTACTACTAAATATTAGAATAGCTCCTAATTTGGCTACAGGGAGGATTCCATATAGCCACTTGCTGGTACTGCTGCTTCTGAATTGATGGGTCCTAGAGTATGGTCCCATGGCTAATGTGAGTGACTGGGATTCAAGAGCCCTGGGTTTCTTCCTGCTTTTATCACACACTATTTTGTGGCCTTGGGAAAATTGCTTTATGTCTGAGAACCTCAGTTTCCTAATCTGTAAAATGGGTATAAGGTTACTATTTGTGTGAAGCACTATTAAATGTTTTCAGTGTTCAGAGATCAAGTTCTCAGTACGCTGGCCCATATGCTTCTTTTTTAATTAACACTCTCTTTTTAGATTTAAATTCTGATCTGCCAAATGCTGCAGCCAACGATCTCTCCTTAACTAAGTACAGTGAAGAATGTACATAATACTGAAGTATCCTAATCAATGTTCTAGAGTGAAAATGATTTGACCCCATTCATTGCTGACAATGGTAAATATCTGCTAAACTTTTATTCCGTATTTTATATTTGTTCTGCAAATAATGTGTATAATTTAATTGGCTGGTTATTTGAAACCTTTGGGACTCAAATTCTTCAGAAATATTATTAAACTTGCCAACTGCAATCATAATCTGCATCACAGTTCTTCCCTGAGGACTATAAATCCTGTATGCCTTTAATTTTGCTTGAGATTTGCTTCATTATGTGACAACAAAGGATGGACGCAATAATGAGGTTTTTGAAATCTTATTTATACAACAGAAAAAATGGACTTGAGTTTCCTGAAAATTACTCTCCAACCCATAGAAATGCCACATTTTTGCACACTGAACTTGAGACATTCCTATCCAAATAAATATAATATCTATCATCTTACAAGCTATCCATACATAGCTTGGATTTATACTCAGATATTTTATATTTAGACATAAGACCCATTCTGGATTTTTACTGTTAAGACCTAGATCTCTGTCTAGTGTTTTAGCATTCATGGCTTATTATGTCTGGAGCCTGACCAAGGAAGTATTTTTCTCCCCAAGTTTCTTAACTTACTTTTAAATCTATTCAGCAGAGGGAGATGCAAAACTCCAACCATAAGACAACATTCACTAATATTAAATGGTGACAAATTCCAAACCAATAAAAAAAAATATTTTTTCCACACAGCATGAAATTATTCCATGGAACTCATAGCCACAGGATGTTATGGAGGCCCAAAACATACAAAGATTTTTTTAAAAAATGGATATTATATCTAAAAACAAGTATTCAACGTTGTAATAGTTAAAGTCAATATACATTCTGGTGAGATATTAAACCATACACTTGAAGGTTAAGACAATCTCCAACTAAAGGGATTATAAGTAGGGTTGCAAGATGGTTGAAACAAAAATACTGAATTACAACCCTCCCCCCCCCCCCCCCCCCCCCACAACAACACAACC